AACCGGAAACAGTTCGGCCGGAAACTGCCTAAAGATGAAAATGATCAGAAGAACACATTCAGAATGGGAAGCATAACGAGGAATGGAGATTTAGTTGGTATGTATGTATGTTTGTTTGTATGTTTGTTTGTATGTATGTATGCATATTTCATGGTATGTATGTATGTATATGTGTGTATGTATAATATGTACGAGCCCATGATTAAAAACAACAATATATGTATGTATGTGTATATGTATGTATTAATGTATGTATGTGTATGTGTGTGTGTGTATGTGTGTGTGTGTGGTGCGTGTGTGTGTGGTGTGTGTATGTGTGTGTTTGTGTGTTTGTTTATGTGTTTGCACTAGCAACCCGCCTATTAAATGTTCATTCACTGTCAACTTCAGAATTAGACCGGCGAATAAAAATTTTTTCAAGTTTTTTGTTATTTTTATTTCACTTCTTTTTCTCCTCCTTTTTTTTCTTCTCCTCTTTCTTCTTCTTCTTCTTCTTCTTCTTCTTCTTTTTCTTCTTCTTTTTCTTCTTCTTCTTCTCCTTTTTTTTTTCTTTTCTTCTTTTTCTTCTTCTTCTTCTTCTTCTTCTTAATCTCATTATTATTATTATTGTTATTCAGTTTTAATGGTGTTTGTCGGACAGCAGATTTGGGTGCAGAACATTTCATTACAAATGCACACTTTTGTTCGTTTTTTGTAAAAAAAATTATTATTATTATTATTATTAGATTATTATTTTTTACTCATTATTATCTATAAAATAATCTCATTAATATTAATAAAATGACCAGATTATTGTCTATAGGATGACATCATAAATATTCATATTGATTGATAACCAAATTAAATTTTTTTTAATTAATTCTATAATCTTTAATTCGTTCAAAAGGTAGCGTCGTGAATATTAATGAGATGACCTAATTAACTTCTCGTCCAATCAGGAGTCTACCCGGTTTACTCGCAGTCCAGTAGTGTGCGGACCTACGTGGACCCCTTCACGTATGAAGACCCTAACTTGGCGATAAGGGAATTTACCAAAGAAATAAATACAGAGTACATCATCATCGAGTCTGTGATTGGTGGCGGTGAGGGTGCTACTGCTGCTTTGTTGTTATTTAAATCCCAGCACAGACATATCTTCATCGCACTCACACACACGCACACGCACGCACACACGCGCACACACAAACGCGCACACATACACAGGCACACACACACACGCACAAACACATACATACACACACAAACATACTCCAGGTGAGTTTGGCGATGTTTGCAAGGGCCGGCTATCCATCCCAAACAAGCCCCAACTTGATGTGGCCATAAAAACGCTTAAAAGTGGATTTAGCGACAAACACAAGATGGACTTTTTGACGGAGGCCAGCATCATGGGCCAGTTCGACCACCCAAACGTCATTTTCCTGGAGGGTGTTGTCACCAAGAGCCAGCCCATCATGATCGTGACTGAGTTTATGCTGAATGGGTCACTGGATAGGTTTTTGAAGGTTTTCAGATGTCTGATTGGTCGCTATTTTTATCAATACTATCATCATTATCGTCGTCATCATCATTATCGTCATCATCATCGTCTGTATAATCATCATCATCATTACCATCACTGTCATCATCGTCATCATCATTATCATCATTACCAGCTGAACGACGGTCAGTTTACGATGCTGCAATTGGTCGGGATGATGAGGGGCGTGGCCTCTGGAATGAAGTACCTCAGCGAAATGGGTTACGTACATAGGGTTGGTGATGATGATGATGATGATGGTGATGATGATGGTGATGATGGTGATGATGATGGTGATGATGGTAGTGGTAGTAGTAATGATGATGATGTGATGGTGATGATAGTGGTGGTGGTGGTGGTGATGGTGGTGGTGATGGTGGTAATAGTAATGAGGATGATGATGGTGGTGGTGGTAGTAGTAATGATGATGATGGTGATGATGATGATGGTGGTGGTAGTAGTAGTGATGATGATGATGATGATGATGATGATAATCATTGTAATGAATGGTTTTTTGATGTTTCTGGTGAATAGTTTAGAGGCATGCCGACATGCAGTTGAAATCGAGCACCTCATGTTCTGAGTCCGTCATCCCAATGAATGAATAAATGAATGATTGAGTGAGTGAGTGAGTGAACGAACGAACGAATGAATGAATAAATAAATTTATTTAATATATTTTTTAATAAAGGATCTAGCGGCCAGAAACATCCTAGTAAGCGAAACCTTGATATGCAAGGTTTCGGATTTTGGTTTGTCGAGAGAGTTAGATAATGGTGGAAGTGGCTATACCACTAAAGTTAGTTGGCTGGTTGGTTGGTTGGTTGGTTGGTTGGTTGGATGTCTGGTTGGCTGGTTGGATGGTTGGTTGGTTGGTTGGTTGGTTGGTTGGATGTCTGGTTGGCTGGTTGGTTGGTTGGTTGGTTGGTTGGTTGGTTGGTTGGATGGGAAAATATTCAAATGAACAAATAACTAATTGATTCAATAATTAATAAACTTAACCACAGAAGAATAATTTTCCTAGCAAAATTACACCGGCAACATAACCTACCCCAAAGCAACATTTCTCTTAACTCAATCAATGGGCTATCACCTTCAAAAAAAATACCTCAGGGGGGGAAAATCCCTATACGATGGACAGCCCCTGAGGCCATAGCCTACAGAAAATTCACGTCGGCGTCCGACGTCTGGTCGTATGGGGTGGTCGTCTGGGAGATCGTGACGTATGGGGAAAGGCCCTACTGGGATTGGTCGAATAGACGGGTGATAGAGGCCATAGAGAGGGAGGATTTTAATCTGCCCGCCCCCTTGGTGAGATGTTGTGTGGGTTTTTTGTGGTGGTGAGGGGGTGTAGGATTGAATGAGGGGATGAAAGATTGAATAAAGGATTGAATGAAGGAATAAAGGATTGAATGAAGGAATGAAGAATTGAATGAAGGAATGAAGGGATGAAGGATTGCATGAAGGAATGAAAGATTGAATGAAGAAATAAAGGATTGAATGAAGGAATGAAAAAATAAAGGATTGAACGATGGGACCCTAGATAGAGAGAGTGAAAGAATGAAAGAAAGAGAGAAAGGAAAAAATTTTCATATTTCATGAACAGACGTTTGTGAGACTGCGAAGACTTTTTTTTAAGAAAAGAAGACATTTAAATGGATCATCATCATCATCATCATCATCGACATCACTACCATCATCACAATCATCATCACTATCACTGCCATCATCATCGTCATCATCATTATCAGGACTGCCCGGAAACGATCCACCAACTGATGTTGAACTGCTGGTTGAGAGATCGATTCAGTCGCCCCAAGTTCAACGACATCGTCAAAACCCTCGATCAGCTGATCAGATCGCCCGATCAGCTGTTACATCTCGCTCAGTCAAGGTCAGGGCCGTCTAATTAGCATAATTTATTCATGATTAACCGTTTTTAACATGTATCACATGAGTCATTCTTACTATGGAAAACAAACGCATCGAAAATAAACACAGTTCAAGATCAACTATGATGATGATGACGTCATCGTCACTCACGTGCCACAACCATCACCATTGCCAGCAGCAGCAGCAACAACTGCTACTGCTGCAACCGGAAATGGATGAACCGGAACCGGAAACGATGGAGGAATTTTTGAGGCGCATAAAAATGGAGCGATATTTAGAGACGTTCAAATTTTACGGCATAGACAACATAGAGAAAGTGGCTATGTTGAGTTTGAAAGATCTTTTATCTATGGACATTACATTGATCGGTCACCAAAAGAAGATACTAAATAATGCTCAGATGTTAAGAAATGTTGTTATAGTTGATTGATTGATTGAATGATTGGATGGGTAGATGAATAAAAGAATGAAGAAATGAATGAATGGATGAATGGACAGATGAATGAATAGATGAATGAATGAATGAATTAGTGAACGAACAAAGGAGTCAATAAATGAATGAATAGCTGATATTTTATCAAGTTACACGAATAGAGGTTCATCGGTTCCATTGTTTTCATTTCAATTTCGTACATTTAATTTTTTTCAATTATTTTTTTTCAATTATTTTTTAAATGTAGGCCAAACTACTCCCAATAATAACTCAATCAGTCATCAGCAGTTCAATTATTTTAGATTTATTTTTCTGTGTTTTTAACGGCAAAAAAATCATTTGATATTTTTCTAACTAAAGGGCTAATGAGTGTCATCTTCATCCATTTAGTCATTCATTTCTTCATTCGCTCATCTTGTTTTTATTCATTTATTTATTCGTTCGTTCGTTTGTTTATACATTCGTTCATTCATTAAATCATTCGTTCGTTCGTTTATCTATTCATCCCACAATTTGTTTTTTTTTAATAATTCATTGATTCATCATACATTCGTATAATCATCTATCCATTCATTTATATATTTACACATGTATTAATTCATTCATTCATTCAATAATTCATTCATTCCTTTTTCTAAAAAAAATGTTTCTTTTTTATGTTTCTATATAATGGGGTAATTATTTTTCGTTTTTTTTAACGTTTTTTTCAGTTGTTTTAGTATTTCAAATTTCATTTTTTTCGAAGCCGAGCGATATTCAGAGAAAAAAAACCTACCTAGAAAACAATCTTCCATTTTTTTTTATTTTTCTCCGTCTTTGTTTTTCATTTTACGTCATTGTTTTATCTATGCATCATTCTGCGTGTTCGTTTGTTTGTTTATGTGTTTGCAAAGTAATAATTAACAATAGATAACTACTACTACTACTACTACTACTATCACTACTAATACTACTACTACTACTACTACTACTACTACTACAACTACTACTACTACTACTACTTATACTCCTACTGTTGCTACTACTACTACTACTGCTACTACTACTACTTATGATAATAATAATGCTTTATTGATATGCTACATACTTGAGGGCAGTTCTAGAATAATTTTTGTTTTTAATTTTATTTCTTTACGACAAATTTATGGATTTATTTTAAAAAATTGAAAAAATATTATTTTAAAACAATTATGAATATTTGGCTTTTCCGGAGAAAATTATTTTTACTCATTTTTCCTGTCTTTCGTCCTTGCTAAAGATGAAACAAAAAAAAATATGCTATTATTATTATTATTATTATTAATGCTATTGTTGTTGCCGTACTTGTTATTATTCTTATTATTATATTCTTATATCCATGTTGTATTCGTGCTATCACACACACACAAACACACACACAAACACACACACAAAAACACACAAACACACACTTAAATATAAATATATATATATATATATATATATATATATATATATATATATATATATATATATATAATTTATTTTGCAATATATAACATTTGCCTTTAATGCTATACATATATATATATATATATTTATATATATATATATTATATTGCTATACATATATATATATATATATATATATATATTTATATATATATATATGTATAGCATATATATATATATATATATATATATTTTTAAATAATTATAACACACACACCACACATAGACACACATATACACACACACACACACACACATATATATATATATATATATATATATATATATATATATATATATATTATTGTTAATTTTATTATTATTATTTAGCAATGCCAAAATTAAATTGAGAATAAAAAGTTTGTCTTATGTTTTGATTCATAAACATCATCAAACAACATCATCACCAACATCATAATCATCATCAGCACCACCAACAACAACATCATCATCATCATCAAACAACAACATCATCATCTGAATAACCTTTCCTTTCAGAGTAAGGCAGCCCACCAATCACAGTTCCTATTACATTGCCACCACTGATCTACAAAAAATTCATCTTGGAAAATTCATCGTGGGGTAAAAATCATAGTGGAAAATTCATTCTGGTATTGTTGTAAGGTGTTACGGAAATCTTTGTGAGGCCGTTCAATTAATTAATTAATTAATTAATTAATTAATTAATTAATTAATCGAGCCCGAATTCGTTTACTTAGATTATCGTTGATAGTGGTGGGTGGCCAGCAGCGGTAGGTTCAATCCCTATCGTACAGTATAATGCTAATTGCTAACTATCGTTTAATCGTTAAAATGCCGAAATCTATTTACTATTCGGCCTAATTCGTCAATTAATTGCCAAAATTGATTCATTTTTTGGCTTAATTAATTAATTTATCGATTTATTGGTACAGTTGTTGGTACGATTCCTGACCTTCGTCAATATACTGTAGTTCAATCAACGATCTATTAATGAATGTCCGACAATAATTCACATTTCGACTCGTTTCAATTAATTTCGACAAATTTCAACTTGAATTCGAGTGAATTTCGGGTCAATTGCACTTGCTCGGCTCGGCTCGCGATCGAACCCTCTACGAGAAGGTCTACAGAAAGCGGTCGGCACTAATATTGGCCGGACCGCTCGATACGCCTGTCTCAATTGTCATTATGTCCAGTTTTGACGATGTTGCCCACTTATTCAACTGCCCAACGGCTCTGTACATCTCACGGTGATAGATCTCTGGTGGAACCCAGTACCGTCTGGAATCCTCTGGCGGGGCAACAACAACAACATCATCATCATCAACAACATCATCATCATCAACATCACCATCAACAACACCATCATCATCAAACAACAAAAACATCATCATCTTTCTTATCAACGTGTAATATTCTTAAGAAATTCACCGAGACGAAATGCATCAGATCGCAAAAAGTTTTTATTTTTTTTTTAAACTTTTTTAAAATTCATTTGAGGAAAAATGATAATAGTAACAACAACAACAATAATAATAACAATAATAATCATAACAATAATAATAATAACAACAATAATGATGACATTAACCATCGTAACAATCATCATTAAAAGCAATAACAATATAAATAATATAGATAGATAGATAGATAGATAGATAGATAGATAGATAGATAGATAGATAGATAGATAGATAGATAGATAGATAGATAGATAGATAGATAGATAGATAGATAGATAGATAGATAGATAGATAGATAGATAGATAGATAGATAGATAGATAGATAGATAGATAGATAGATAGATAGATAGATAGATAGATAGATAGATAGATAGATAGATAGATAGATAGATAGATAGATAGATAGATAGATAGATAGATAGATATTTATAGGTTCATAGCTATAGTTTTGATTCATCCTTCTCTCTCTTTTTTTCCTTCTCTCTCTCTCTCCCTCTCCTCTCCCTCTCCTCTTTCTCTCTCTTTTTCAATACAAAAAGTCATAGACAAAAATAATATTAATAAATAATATTAATAAATATTACTAAATAATATTACTAAATATTAATAAATAATATAACTAAATAATATTAATAAATAATATTAAAAAGTAGTGATGAAATTTTGAAAGGAAAGAAAACATTATCTCTACAATTGCTAAGACATTCATTATTACGCACTACGCATCTGTGTGTGTGTGTGTATGTATGTATGTATGTATGTATGTATGGATGTATGTATGTATGTATGTATGTATGTATGGATGTATGTATGTATGTATGTATGTATGTATGTATGTATGTATGTATGTATGTATGTATGTATGTATGTATGTATGTATGTATGTATGTATGTATGTATGTATGTATGTATGTATGTATGTATGGGTATGTATGGGTATGTATGATGTGTACAATGCAAGTTTCATACAAAAAATGTTTATGGGTTGTACAAAATTTGATACAAAAAATTATATATATATATGTGTATATATATAGACTATATATAGTCTATATATATAGTCTATATGCCCAATATATATATATATATATATATATATATATATATATATATATATATATATATATAGTATTGTATGAATTTTACCAAATTGTTGGCATTAGTATTGTTCGCGTATATATATATGCAAAACGTGTCTATAATATTGACATATATACAATGAAATGTTCAACCAACTAACCAGCCAACCAATTACATTCAAAGAAACAAATAATTCATTTAGTATTATAATCATACCACTGAAAATCCAACCAATAACAATCACCTCATCAAATAAACCGACCAATCAAATTGTGGCTATAAAATGACAAATGACCGACCGATCAACCAATCATATCACGATTACTGCACATATCAGCTGACCAATAATAATATCAACCACATTCATTCTTTCAATTCATCAAAAGCAACCCCCATCAGAGTATCAAATCAATGGACCAATCACATTCGGACTTCTTAATCAACGGACCTATCACACTCAGAGACTCAAAATGAGACGGACGAATCACGTTTGATCAATCCAAGCACGGACCAATCAGTGAAAAGAATGTTTCTGCTTTCGGTGCCTGTAGACATTATTTCGATGGTAGAACCTGTGGCTGCAGCCCTCTACGGGGCAGGCGTAAGGCCGGCTGTCGGTCAAACCAGTCGACCTCTTTCGGGCCATTGGGATACGATAGTGGCTCTGCAGTGTGTTTGGGGTGTGAGTTTTTGGGGTGTGGTGCGATTTTGTGGTATGGTGTGATTTTGTGGTATGGTGTGATCTTGTGGTATGGTGTGATTTTGTGGTATGGTGTGATCTTGTGGTATGGTGTGATTTTGGGGTATGGTGTGATCTTGTGGTTTGGTGTGATTTTGAGGTATGGTGTGATCTTGTGGTATGGTGTGATTCTGTGGTTTTATAGAAAAAAAAATTTAAGAATATCTAAAAGCTCCTAACATTCAGCTTGGCAATTCTATCATAAGAAATGAATTCATTATTATTACTATTGTTATTTATATTATTATGAATATTATGATTATTATGATTATTATTACTATTGCTAGCATTGAATGGATGAGTGAACTGATATAGATACTCGTCAAAATCATTATTATTATTATTATTATTATTATTATTATAGTTGTTATTATTATTGTTATTATTATAGATATTATTATTATCATTATTGTTGTTGTTGAGATGTAAGTTATTGTTGGATTGACTGTCTATATCAACAAACATGTTGGAGCTCTGATAATTGCTCTTGGAACGCTTAAAACTTTTGTTATTATTATTATTTTTATTATTATTATTGATGTTGTTGTTAGCGTCATTAATTACAATGTTACTCTTGTCCTCACTCTCATTCTCATCAGCATCTTCCCCATCTTCTAATTTAATTTTGATACAATCATTATCATCATTATTATTGTTGTTGTTGCTGTTGTTGAATATATTATTGTTATTATTATTATTGTTATTATGGTAGCCTAACAGATAGTCTATCTCATCATCATCATCATCAAGCCCATTATTATTATTATTATTATTATTATTATTATTATTATTATCAATGTTGATATCGTCATAACTGATGCTATCATTACTGTTATTAATACTTGTTTTATTATTATTACTATTATTGTTGTTGTTGTTGTTGTTGTTATGGAAAGAATTATTGTCACTGATAACGCTATTAACATCATTATTATTTACACTATTAATTTCACTGGCCGACAGTTTATCAAAACTTTTTTGCTGTCCTGACAACGATTTCCTTCTTCTTTTTACACCTTTATGGTGAGAATATCTCAATGAGGATATGCCCGACATCACCCCATCTCTATTTTCCGTGTTCTCTTTTAGGGAATCGTTTGGCCCCATGAAATTTTGTTCCTCGGTGTCGCTAATAATGGCGGACATGTGGGTATTATGGTCTGATAAATCGTCTATTAGTTGAACCTTGTCATCATCATCTTGGGGCTCTGGGGCTATTAGTTCATTGATGTGAATTAGGAAAATTTGATTGTCGTCAATTGTGACCCCCACAACGCCTTCTATCTTCAGCTGAATCTTGTACGGAAGTCCGTTTTTACAAAGTAGTGAAATGGTTTCAGTCAGTAATCTACTCACTCTGTGGTTTTCGGCGTTTGTTTTTGTTAAACAGGACATTGTTAGTTAAGTTAGAAATAGGTAATTGTCGATTAATAGTGATTGATTGGTGATTGAAACGAAAATGACGTCCGGATCACCGTATTTTCTGTTAAGTTGATTCGCTAGTTTCAGAGATTAAAATGATTTCAATCTGATCGTAAAAACAGTATTTGAATACGAAATTTCGTTAAAAATTTTAATGAAAACAACTTAAAAAATTTGTCTTTATTTTACAATTAAGAAAATCAGTAATCTTGATCATAAAATTATAAATTAGTTATTATTATTCTAGTTTGAGTCAGAAGAAAGTGAATTAAGGTTACAAATTAGTGATGTGAACAAATCCTTAATAATTAATAATCAGCTAACTAATCAATTAAAACTATTAATTTGACAATTAGCCGTATTTAATTAAAATTTTTTATTTTCTAACAGCACATAAGCATAAACTATGTAATTAAGAAAATTTTTAATGCTATTTTTTATTATATATATGAAGGGCTGCCCAGAGACCCTTATCCAAAAATCCCCACACAATATCTAAGTTGTCTGTTTATTTTGTGGCCCTCAAATCTTAGCCTCTTTTGTGGGTGGCCCTGAATTTAAAAAGTATTTTGGGGTCGTAGGAACTTTATAGGGGCATCAAATGGGCTTTTTGGATCAATCTTAATTACAGCTATAATTACTATAATTACCATTATTTTTAATTATAACTAAAAATAATTTTGTATTTTTTTTATTATTAATAATAAACTTTATTATTCATAAAAAGGTCTATAATTTTCTGAGAAAAAGAAAATTCATTTAGAAAAATATTGATCTGAGAATATAGATTGCTTGTAGTGTAAGTTCTAATAACGAGAAACAACATTACAATCGAAATTGAAATGTCTCTATAACACTCTGAAGAATCAATGATTGAAGATCATTGTCATCATCATCGTCGTCGTCGTCATCATCATCATCTTCATCTTCATAGTTGATAATGCTATTGTTAACATCATCATCATCATCATCATCATCATCATCATCATCATCATCATCATCATCATCATCATCATCATCATCATCATCATCATCATCATGTAAACTTTCGTAGATTTACAACTTTCTAAAAACAGTGAAATCATTACCCCATCACTTGCCATCTAGGGGTAATTATCGTCATCATCATCGTCGTCGTCATCATCATCGTCGTCATCATCGTTGTCGTCATCATCATCTTTGTTTCACCATCCTCTCTACCAGTCCATCCTCTTTCTCCTCATCATCACAATCACCATCACAATCATCATCACCACCATCATCATCTTCATGAACGTTAAAACAATTACTTTATAAGGCTAAGAGATAAGGGAGAATTGAACAATACTCGCCTTAGTTGCAATCAAATTAACTCGATATCGTCATAACCAGCAGAGATAAGGCAATATAATAATAATAATAATACTCAACATCTATCTAATCTCAGCGACCGAGCAGAGTTTGGCGCCTTTCGAGAACCATCTTGGGACCATTTGAATAAAAGTTAGACTGAATGTATATTGAATTTTTATGATTTGTTTTTTTGTACATTCAGATATTTGTTATTTCTTTTAATGATAATGTAGTAGTATTAGTAGTAGTAGTGATAGTGGTAGTGGTAGTAGTAGTAGTAGTAGTAGTAGTAGTAGTAGTAGTAGTAGTAGTAGTAGTAGTATCAGTAGTAGTAGTAGGGCAATATTATTATTATAGTTTATTATTATTTTGTTATTATTATTATTTTTATTAATGAATAAATAAATATAAATATTGGGCTTAAACCTAAGTTATATATGCCCATATTAAAATAGCATTAAAAGACAACAAAAAGCAATAATATTATCAAGGGTTGCCGTGATGATGATGATGCTAGCGGTACTCTTGATGGTCGTCTTGAAACTTGTCGCCATGGAAGCGGCGACAATAGGAGAGGTGAATGAGTGAATGAACGAATGAGCCAAAGGGCGAATGAATTAATTTGTGATTGAATGGATGAATTGCAAATGTATGAATGGATGGACGAATCGAAATGATTATTCATATCGCTCACAAATTCCTAATCCCAAAAAACGTGGATAAATTAACATAATTTATTACATAATTAATGGTAGTAAAATAATAATAATAAAAAAAATCATTATAATCATAATAATAATCATAATAAATAGTGGTAATAATAATTTCATATTATTTATATTATTTAGACTGGAGGCTTCCATCAACAGCAAATGAAGGTAGGTGTAATTACTGTTATTATTATTTTTTATTATTATTATTGTTGTTGTTGTTATATTTAATAATATTAATAATAATAATAATCTTAATAATAATCATAATAAATTGTGATAATAATAATTTCATATTATTCATAATATCTAGGCTGGAGGCTACCAACAACACCAAGTTGAGGTCGGTGTTATTACTTTTATTATTATTTTTTATTATTGTTGTTATATTTATTGTTATTATTGTTATATATTGTTGTTGTTGTTGTTAATAAATAGTGATAATAATAATTTCATATTATTCCTTTTATCTAGGCTGTCCACTACCAACAAAACCAAATGGCGGGCGGGGTAATTACTTTTATTATTAATACTTTATTATTATTATTGTTGTTATATTTATTATTATTACTACTATTTATTATTAATAATAATGATGATAATAATAAATATAAAAACAATAATAAAATATTATTAATAAACTTAATTACCCCGCCCTCAATTCGGTGTTGTTGGTAGCCGACTGTCTAAATGATAGGAATAATATGAAATTATTAATAATAATAATAAATCAAACAACAATAATAATAATAACACCTCATGACCAGTTTGAATACATTACCGTTTTGCATTTGTCATAGAAAATGAAAATTGTGGTTTTCATTGAACATTAATGCATTTTTTAATTACTTTTATCTTTCATTTTTAACGACTTTGGTTGACATAAAAGAGTTCTTATTATTAATAGTTTTAACATAACATAACATAAACAGAGAATAGAGAGGCGCGAACTGACGTTCCTATGCCTCCAGCAAATGAAAAGCTTCCATTGTATTTTAAAAATAATAAAATAAATAAATGAAGTAAAAATAGTTTTAATAATAATTTCATATTATTCATATTATTTAGACCGGCAGCTACCAACAAACCCAAATGGAGCTCGGAGTAATTATTTTTATTGTTATTTTATTACTGTTATTGTTGTTATATTTATTATCCTTCAATGGGCAGAATTTCAGAACATACCCAAATGCTTACTCACCTAATAAATGACGCTAAAAGACACCAGCGAACGATGCTCTTAACACTGCTCGATTTACGTAACGCCTTTGGCAAAGTAAGCCACAGCTTGATCCAATTAATGCTAAGCCATCACCATATTCCGCCACCAATAACCAACCTGATACTTTCAACCTATTCCAACTATTCCATAATGGTTTCGATCAACGTCAATCAGACACCTGCTGTTCAGATAAAAAAAAAAAGGCATACCACAAGGGGACCCAAGCTCCCCCATTCTCTTCAATATGTGTTTTAATCCCCTATTGAAAATTTTAGAGGGCGATTCGGCTATTGTTGCGCACAAGGCTGTTCTCATTATTATTATTATTGTTATTATTATAGAATAATTGCTCGAATAATACGAGGGTTGGACGTTTACGTTCAGCTCACTATTTTTAAGCATAATTTTGATTTTATGTCGTTCAAATTAGTTTTAAAATAGATTCTGTTGTCTTGAAAAATTTAGAGGATTATGGCGATACATTTAAAATTAAATTTCATTAACCTTAAATATTTTATTTTAATTATTTTAATTAATTCAATTTATACTGTTAATTCAACTAAATGTCCACATTGCGACAAAACATTCGTTAACGTTAATAAACACTCCTGGAGGTGTACTAAAAATACTGCTAATTCAAACAACAACGTTGTTCGTTCAAATGTTAAATCAAACATAAACATTTCATCTGATATTTATAATGGCAATTCTGTGGACAAGCATTCAATAAATTTAGAAAATAATATTATAACATGTTGTTGCGGAAAAGGATGCAAAGGCAGGAAAGGGTTAATTATGCACCAGCGCTCATGCAAAATGCATAAAAAAATTCAACTAAAGGATAACCAAACAAACGAAGTTGACGACACAGCATCACCTCCGGAACAACAAACGTCTCACAAATCAAGTCGCACAACACCAATTTCTCCATCAACGCCGGCCAGTGACACAATCGAATCCACTCTGCCGGGTACCAAACTACCCAAGACGTCGAGCCAATGGTCCGAAGCCAACGTTTACTTTCAACTACAACAACAATCACTTCCAAGCTATGACAATATCGACAACTTCACGTCCGCCTTCCAACAAATGATTTACAACTATTTCGCCACAAACTATGGCACTCTTAAACAACAAACAGTCAATAATACCAGCTCCAACAAATCAATCAAAAATCTAAAAAAAGAACTAAAACAGCTAAAGCTACTAGGCCACAACAATCAGCGCTTCGATGACCAAATCATCACAACAAGCAAAGCGCTCAGAGCTCAAATAAAGTCAAAAAAATTAACAAAATGCGATCAATCAGTCGACGTCACGTCTCAGCTAAAACAGCGCTTTTGGGGGACATGTAAGAAAATATTCGACCAAACAGAAAATTTGAAACCACTGTTTGGTGTCACTGATTGCCATCAATATTTTCTTTCGATTCTCAACAATCCTCATCAAACAAAATACCAAATACCTAGCTGGGCTCCAAAATTACAAAAGCCTCCAACACTCTGCAACACAAGCCCTCCTACATACCACGAAATTTCAACAATAATCCATAAATATAAATCAAAATCATCACCATGCTCTTTCGACCAGATTTCGATAATTCCATTTAAAAAATGCCCAATACTACGAACAATTCTCCACAAACTGTTGGTTCAATGCTGGGTATCTTGCAATATCCCCACTTGCTGGAAAAGGGTTTCACAGTCCTCATCCACAAAAAAGGGGACGCCAACGACCCTTCAAACTTCAGGCCCATAACATTGCAACCAACTTTATACAAAATATTTTCATCATTCATCAACAATAAAATATATAATTTTTTAGAAAAAAACAGTCTGATCAACACAAATATTCAAAAAGGGTTCTACCCAAAAATCGATGGTTTGACCGAGCATAATCAGCTCTTAAGTCATCTTCTCAACGATGCCAGGAAACATCAAAGAACTATAATTGTTTCCCTACTTGACCTTCGAAACGCGTTTGGAGAGGTCAACCACAATCTCATCTCATCAACTCTGAACTTCCATCATATTCCACCTCATATAATCAACTTAATTAAATGCATATACACGAACTACTCAATAACAGTATCCGGATGCGACCAGCTAACACCGCACATTCCAGTCAAGCGAGGAGTGCTTCAAGGTGATCCCATGTCTCCACTGCTCTTCAACCTCTGCTTTAACCCCCTAATGAAATTAGTTGAAAAAACCGAATATCAACAATGCGGCTACATTTGGGGTTCCACGGCTAAATTAAAGACAAGAGCGTGGCTACAATTCGCAGACAACACGGCGATCATTGCTAACAGCACTGGAAGCGCTCAAAAGTTAATCGACTTAAACAATGCATGGTGCAAAGCTACTGGAATGACAATGAGGATAGACAAATGTTCCTCATTCGGCATGAGAAAAAGAAAAGGTGCTTATGAACAGTTTCATCCGATGCTGTCCATCGACAACAAACATATTCCTCATGTAGATATTGGAGGCCACTTCGTATATTTAGGTAAGTTATACGATTTCGAAGGAAATAATACAAAGGCCAACAATCTAATGGTCAATAAACTCAAAAAAATATTAACAACTGTCAGTGAACTGAACACAACAGCTCAACTCAAATTACAAATCCTCAGACTTTACTTGCCGTCACAATTTGCGTTTGAGTTTCGAATGTACGATACATCGCTGACTTGGATTGGTGAAAACTTAGACACCTTGGTCACCGAATCGGCAAGAACATGGCTATCATTGCCTATCAGCAGCTGTCTGTTGGAAACTATGTCGCTCCCATACAAGTCAGGTGGTCTAAATGTTAGATCACTCAAACATTTTGCCGAATCTCTAAGAGTAAAATTACGAAATTATCTTAAATCAAACGG